GCCCTACCCACTGAGCCACAGGCGCCGCCCACGAAGTTGTTTTTTCTCTGGCCTCCTGCACGCCCAGGGAATTTGTGTTAATCACTCTTTGGGGCAGTTTCATTGTTATATATTTTCTTTCAGGCACTCAGGCTGAGCTAACAAATCCCACTGTTTGTTTTAACGGTCCACATTATCGACCAAGCGCCCTGTGCTGCTGAATTAGCGCCCATTGCGCTCTGCAGGAAGTGTAGTCCAAAACGTCCGCGTACCCCGCGACACTTCCCCAGAAGGGTGCAATTATGGACGACTCTCCTGCCAGGGGAATTCTGGGATTCGGTAGTCTAACTTCTCTCGGCTGGGGGTGTGGTGGGAGGGGCGGGTTTACAGTCACTTCCGCTCGGGCAGCAGGATCCGCGGGCTTCTGGGAAGTGTAGTCTGGACACTCTGCGGCGATCAGGTCACTTCCGCTTCAGGACAGAGCTGTTACGACCGTTATTTGGGTCAGCGGTTATTTGGGCTCGCTCCTCAGCTTGCAAGCCGTTCTGAATTGCCGGGACCTACGTTTGGATTCCCACCGAACTGGTGATCGATTTAGGGGAAAAAAGTGTCGACGGAGAGTGGAGGTTTGGCAGGGCGAAGGCGGCGGTGGGCGATCTCAAACCGGAGCCTTCTTGCCTTTGGGGCTGTCCTCGGGTCCGTGGGGGAGTTTGGTCGCTCCTGGTGTGAGGGTTTCTGTGACGCTGAGTTTACTCAATCCACTTCTCTCCACCACACCCCTGAGGCCACTTCTTCGCAGTATAAGGTTGGGATGTTACTTAATCTCCCTGTGCTTCCCATTACTGTTCTTTAAAACGGGGATATTAGGACATCAATATTGATATTAGGATATAAATAAAATTGTTTTGGTAAATTAATGAAGTAGTACCAACGAAAGCTTTGAAAGAGGTCCTGTAACGTGACAAGTAGTGATCTCTTGTTATTGCTAATTTCCCTGGAAGCGGTCAGGTCCCTGAATTGTGTCACAGCTGCAGTGGCCCAGGCCTGGTCCTTTTCTCTGATCCCTGCGGGACGCTGGATAATCTTGGACGCCTTCCTGGCCTC